AGCAAACTTTAGGAGTGTAATACCACAGTTCTTTAATTGGACAGTTCTGAATAACGAAGGAGTCCGTCTTTCTTCATCTAGTGCTGATTTATTTTAACCACAAGTAAAAATTACAAACACGACTCGGGTTGCTCCCCCTTCCAGAGACACACACACAGGCTGCTGGAAAGTGGAGTCCCTGGCCACACAGAGCCTAATACATTTATAAGGTTTGGGCTAACCCCTAACCCAGATGAAGTCAGTCCGAAGACTCCATTTCTTATCTAGTGCTCGACATGCTTTGAGTAGCTGCATTTCTACCTAGTCATAACAAAATGAAGAATCTCAATGTGTGTGTATGTTGTCACATGGTGCGTAGCTAAGGCATTCATTCATTTATTCAGACATAATGTTCTAATACAAGGTTAATACAGGAAAACAATTGGTGCCTATGGTTCACTTTTCAGAATCAACATTCTGTCTGCTAACCTTGAAACAAAACAGACTAGATTTTAAATCTAACTAAATTGCATTACTAACACATCTGATTCAACACATTGTCTTAACAATTATGTAACTGATTTACTAATATTTAACAGCAGCTTGACAGAGGGGTCGTTGGTGTAGAGTGAAAACAGCACAGGGGAGAGTACACATCCCTGGAGGGGGGCCTGTGCTGATTGTCCAGGTGCTGGATGTGGTTTTCCCCAGCCTCACCTGCTGCTTCCTGTCTGTCAGGAAGCTAGTAATCCACTGACAGGTGGGGGCAGGCACAGTGAGCTGGGTCAGTTTGGGGTGGAGGATGTCCCAGATGATGGTGTTGAATGCAGAGCTGAAATCCACAAAGAAGGCCTGTGCATATGTCACTGGGGAGTCGAGGTGTTGCAGGATGTATACAGGTCTGTAGTCGTTCAGTCCACTGATGGAGGTTTTCTTGGGGACTGGAATGGTGGTGGAGCGTTTGAAGCAGGAGGAGATCTCACACAGCTTCAGTGGCCCGTTGAAGATGAGTGTGAAGATGGGGGCCAGCTGATCAGCGCACACTTTCAGGCAGGAGGAGGTCACACCATCTGGGCCTGGTGCCTTTCTGATCCTTTGTTTTTTAATCATGGTTTTCAGGCTTCCCCACAGAGACGAGGGGCCGTTGGCTGAAACCTGGGCTCTCAGGTATTCAGAGTAGCTCCTCTTTGCTGCTCTGATCTCCTTTGTCAGTGTGTTCCGGCCTGGCTGTACAGGGTCCTGTGCCCACACCTGTAAGCCTCCTCTTTTTACAAACAGTAACGACTACTACTACTACTACTACTACTACTACTTCTTTTCTTCTTCTTCTGTGTCTTCTTTTCTTCTTCTCCTTTGTCTTCTTTTCTTCTGATTCTTCTTCTGTAATTTAAGGCAGTGTATACTGCCCTCCACAGGCTTATAAATAAGCTATAGTCTAGTTTAATATCTGTTCACATTGTTAGGTATTTTTAGTCAGATAGATATTGGTTAGATACTTGATGTATTAGAAATGTTTAGAGTAGACAGGATGTCTAGCTCAGGCTGTTAAATGCTTAGTCATTCTCATGAGTTGCTGCAGGTTGCATATGGTCAAGGATAACTAGAGAGAAAGTTGATGACTGTCAGCAGACAGGATGTTTAATATTATTATTATGACGTGTATAACTGTAGCCATAGCCATAATATTTTCTTATGTTTAATGTTATGACATGTCACTAGAGGTCGTGTTAGAATGTTTTAGATACACACCACACAATCAACAGACAATCACACATTAATTTTTTTCATGTTTTGACTACTGCTATGGCCAGCTGCAAAGCTGGCACCGGGGAGACGTCACGGTTTGGCGTTCCTGTGTAGAATGGGGTTAGCCCGAAGTGATATAATGTATAGGCCTGTTGTGGTTCAGGGTCTTTTATCTTTCAGCTGCCTGCATGCATGCATGTTGGAGGTGCAAGATACCTGAGTGTGTGATGTTAATTTTTACCTGTGTTCATTGAATAAATCAGCACTGTTTTGAAGTTACTTGGACTGCTTTGTCTCTCAGAGTTAGCGTGGTTAAAAGTACCGGGTACAACAACATCCTTGAGAATAAGACTGTATTTTGCAAAAACTAAATAACTGCAATCAGTTGGTGGTATTCATGTTGGCCAAACAATGTAGTAACTGAAAAACAGGAAATCCCTAAATTAGATTTTTTTGAATAATTTACTGTTTACTTTCCATGGTATACTTCCTACAGATGATCAAAACATACAGAACTGTTTCAGGACTGCCACAGTCACATAATTCATTTGGATGTTTCCCTGCTATCTGCAAATATCTGTTTAATCCACAATGAATAGTGAGTGCCGGGAGGGTGTGTTTGATTTAGGTAACTTAGCATGCTCTGTGGGTGGGGCAAATGCAGCTATAAAAATATGAGGAAACAGAATTACGATAACTTTAATGGTAGCTGCAATTAGTCACCCAAATAACTTTGCATTGCTATACATTGTTGATTTACATTATTTGAACATTCACGTTGTCCTGAGGGCCCACTCGGACCCCGGTGCAGCCGCACCACTCACACCTCCTGACACTCTGCCAATGTATTTTAGTGACTGTTGAAACCCAACCAAATTATTAGTGAGGAGTATAAATCAAAAAAGATGGAAGAAGCTGTCTAAGAGTAGTGTAAAATCATATAAGATTTATTGTATAAAAACTAGAAAGTGCCATTAACAAAGCAGCTTGTTGTCCCATAAGAGCATTATTGTTTACTCCCATAACCAACAATTAGAAAAAAACAAAATAAAACAAACTAATCATAATAAGAGCATGCCTTTGTGGTGTAATCACTAAAAGCACTGTAGTGGGTGCTATGGAAGAATTAATTAACTTTTTGGTGTACTATTAATAGCAGGTGCAATTACAACATTGTTCACTACATGGTCAAGTCATGCTGAACTAGTGTGTTAGATCTATGAATATGTGGTGTGAAGCTCAGGATGGTAACATGAGATGGACTGCTGCTTCTGGAGCTCAGAGGGAAAAGATCATATCTCAAATTAAACAGTCAAGATACTAAATTCAGTTATGAATCTAGACAAGTTTTGGAGACCTAAGATGGAGATTTATATGTACTGAAATATTTACAGCTTCATATTTATTTGCAAATCTTTCATTTTAACACAAATATAAAGAAGCTGGTACCAGGAGATAGTGTCAGCTGATTTAAAATGTTTTGGTTTTATCCTGAGTCCATGCTGTTTCTTTGCAAAAACTGTAGGAAACAGTCACTTCAGCCGAGCTGAGTAAAGGTCACTTTGTTAATCTGACCAAATTTATATGCTGATCTTAAGTTCAAGTTCAGACAGCACATGTCAGGCAATATTGACAAGAGTTTACCTGTTTGATCCACTGGCAGGTTTTAGTTTTCATGCGACATATAGTGAAATGCCAAGCTAAATCTGCAAGCAAGTGAACACATCAGCTAATTGTTAGAGGAGAGTCACTCAGCCTTACTATAATTTGCAGGTTTTTTGGAAAATGTTTATTGTGGTCATTATTTTCACATTTTATCATCTATTTTAAAACCCCTCATTCTTTCCACTGAGTGTTGGGGCAGTTACCATAAATTATTTCACTTTTATCCCTATAAGTAATGACAAGTATGAGTCAGTACAAAAATCTTATAATTCATGAAAAGAGACTGTTTTTGCCTGAAAAGTGACAGCACTTTTAATCAATTCTAGTGTTTAAATGTACTTTTATTTGGGTGTTCTTGACAACAGACCTGTTTTAGTTGTGGGGAAAAATGTCCAACCTATCTCAGAAGCAAATGTGGAAATAACATAATGTTGCTTCAGTGTCACAAAAGCACTTAGAGAGAAGGCTGGGTTGGATGGTTGGAACTACAGTGCCTGGTAGCCTGCATCCTGGCTCCTACCAACAGTCTGTTTTTTTAAAATGTGGCCACCATCTATGACTCACCTTCACCAAGCTGTTTTAATTGCCTGATCATATCCAAATCTTAAGGATATAGGCTATGGGGTGTTTTAGTCAGCAATGGCACAGTATTTTGTCATTAAAGTACTGTGTGAAAACTTACTGCCGCAAAGTCGTAACCCATTCATCATCTGAAGTGGAAACCCTGACTTTACATCTCAGCCATGACATATTCGGCTGTCAGCTCTTTAGCTCATTGTTGTAGAAAACAGTATTGAGTAGAGCTGCTTGGACGAGTCTGCAAAACTCAATATTATTCAGTGACAAGGTTTTAAAATGCTTGCTTCCTGCTATATGATTTTGGCAGCTATGATGTTGTTAAGGTTAGGGACAGATTTATGCTTTTTGGTCATGGGCTTATGCAAAGGATATAGCTACAGCTAATACAAACGCAAATGGTAATTACAAGTCTATTAAAGGATGGAACCAGGTTTATTTTAGGTGGGGATTGTGGCCTGTCTTGTACATAAACATCAAATAGGCACATACATGGAGTATTTGCTCTGTAACTAGAAATGAAACGCAGCAAGAAAATCAAATCCTTGCTTATGATGTTGTACACCACTTGGATGACTCAGAATCCTAACACAGACATTCTCATTATTTATGTACCCCCACCCCCCGCTCCAAAATAAGACAATTTAACACCTTTGTGCAAGACACTGTCAACCAATTCCTGAATAAACTTTCAGTTTGGTGCATAAATGAAGACTGAAAGTGAACATTTATTTAACTTTTTGAAAGAGAGCAGTCTACACCATTCACCTTTTCTGTTGTGCTGATTAATTGTTATTTATATCTTCAATACATATTCAAATTACATTCAGAGTCATGCAGGGACGCACTACATTTTATGCTCTACCACTCCCGACGCTCCACGTTCCAGCCGCTTCTCCCCCAATAAATAAACATGACAGGTGGGTGGCAGGTGTGAAATGTCAGTGACGAAGCCCGTGATCCGGTCAGTTTGATGCTTCGGCTGTCTTTCACCGGGTTGCGGCAGCATGTGGATGGATGAGCGGATGCGTACGTGGCTCTGATTGGCCAGGCACGCTCTCACAGCAGGAGAGCCGGGCTCTCTACTTGTCATTACTGTTGCACCGATTCACAAACCCGTGAACACCTTGGGGCTCCGTGCGTCTGTCTTCTCCCGGACTTGAAATTAATTGCACATCATTTAAAGCGGCGGCTCGCACCATGGACGCTACCATTTATCAGATCATATTCGGAGAGCTCGGGGACGTAAACTGTAGTTTGATAGATGCTTTCCAAGACACTTTTTTGGAAAACGCTTCACTGTCATTGCTGAGCACAGATGGTAAGATGGAATTCTTCTTTTCTCGTTTTCAATATTGAGAGGTGTTTTTATTGCATCTTGGAAAAGGAAAACTATACGTCCGGGTTTTATTTTTTTTTTACTTTATAATTTACTGTATTTCCAAGGTTTTTACTGTAATGCCACGACCGATGAAATTGGAACCTGCTGGCCACGGAGCAGCTCGGGGAGGATTGTAGAGAGACCGTGCCCTGAGTACATCAACGGAGTGAAGTACAACACAACGAGTAAGATATATACGTACAATCATGGACAGAAATACTGGCGCCCCTGCATGTCAGATAACGCACCACCTTTCCCAAAAAATGATTGCAATCACAAATTCTTTGGTAGTGTCCTGTTTATTTTTTTTGTTTGCATTGGAACAACACAAATAATCAGAGAAAAAAGGACAAATCTGATTCATTCTACACAAAACTCCAAAAAGAGAGTGGACAAAATGAATGGCACCTTTTCAAAATCATCAGAAATAGTTGTATGTCAAGCATGTGATGCTGCTTTAATTTGTAATGAAACTCATAGTAGTAGTCAACAGGTGCTGGTAATATAGAAATCACAAATGCAACCAGTTAAAATGGAGAAAAGTTGGTTCATCCTTGTCCTGTACCACACTGAGCATGGAGAAAAGAAAGAAGAGCAAAGAATTAAGTGCCTGATGATTTGAGAACCACAACAGTGGAAAAGCCTGGACAGTCTCAAGGCAACAAGTCCATCTCTGTTCCTGTGTCCACTGTGCGCAACATTGTCAAGATGTTTACAGCCCATGGCGCTATAGCTGATCTCCATGGACATGGACGAAAGAGAAATATAAGTGACAGACTGCAACGAAGGATTGTTCCAATATTGGATAAAGAACCTCCATCAACTTCTAAACAAATTCAAGCTGACCTGCAACTGCAGGCTGCAACAGTGTCAGCTCGCACTATCCGTCACTGTCTGAATGACAAGGGACTCTATGGTAGGACACCCAGGGGGCTCTATTGCTGACACAGAGACATAAAAAAACAGATTGGAGTTTGCCAAAACTTACCTGAGGAAGCCACAATCTTTCTGAGACGATGGCCTGTGGACAGATTAGCTTTTTGGTCGTGTACATCATTCTGCTTTTTTCAGAAAACGAAATGAGACCTTCAGAGAAAAGAACACGGTCCCTACAGTCACGATGGAGGTTCACAGATGTCTTGGGGTTGCTTTGCTGCTTGCACTGGGTGTCTTGACTGTGTGTCTGGCTTTATGACATCTGAAGACAAACAATGAATTCTGGGGCACAATGTAGGGCCCAGTGTCAGAAAGGTGGGTCTCTGACAGAGGTCATGGGTCTTACAGCAGGACAATGACCCAAAACATAGTTCACAAAGCACCAAAAATGGTTTCAGACAATGAGCTGGAGAGTCCTGAAGTGGCCAGCAAATAAGTCCAGATCTAAATCTCATAGAGCTCCTGTGGAGAGATCTCAGAACAGCAGCTGGGAGAAGGAATCCTTAAAATCTGAGAGACCTGGAGTAGATGGCAAAAGAAGAGTGGTCCAGAATTCCACTAGAGGAGTGTAAGAAACAAACTGATGGTTACAGGAAACAACTGATTTCAATTATTTTGTCCAAAAAGGTGTGCTGCCAAATATTAAGTTGAGGGTGTCAGTAATTCTGTCCAGTCCATGTTTTGGAGTTCTGTGTGGATTGGATCAGATCTGGCGTCTTTTCTCTGTTTTTTGTGTTGCTCCAATGCAGGGACAGAGAGACTTGTCAGAATTGAGTGAAGGATTCAGAGAATTTGTGATTGCAACAATTTTCTGGAAGAAGTGATGTGTTATCTGACAGAAATGTAGGGTGGCAATATTTTTGGCTATGACTAACTGTTAGGACAAAACTTCCTTAACATGCATGTTTTGGGAAAAAAAACATTTGATTATCTTAATTTATAATACTAGTTTGTCCATTATGTTCACAGATGCACACAATATGTGCTGACTTACGAGGTACACATATAATTCTTGGTGCAAATGTAAGGATTACTCCTTGAGTTTTTGTGAGCACAGTCAACAAACAAGTCCAGCAACTTAATTACTTCCCAGATGTTGAATTACCATTTATAATTTGACGATTTTATCAAAGGCCTATTCTAGGTCTATTTATGTCCCTGTGGTTCTGATGTAAAGCAGTGATGATGACAGTGAATATCAATGATCATTACACATTCTGTCAATGGGACAGCTGCATCAGAATGAGCCTCTGCTGTTCATGAAATGTCAATGTACAAATCACTTCAAACCTCAGCTTGTGATGCAGTAGTTCTTGTTTTGTACTGTAATTGGCCAGACTTGGACAATGTGACAAAACACTGTGATATTTGAAATGCAGTTAGAGAAGAGGGGAAAGAAAGAAAGAAAAAGAAAAGAATCATCAGTAAAACTCGCCATATGTCTGCTTTTTCACATAACATACAATAAGACAGTCAGAGAAGCAAATTTCTTCAAACACAAGTCGCTTAGAAAATGAGAATGCAATGCAGCCTTCAGTTTATGCCATAAGGTATAGGACTGTCAGCCAGGCAGCACCATTTTCTGTCCACCAACATGGTACACACAGTTCACAAGGTCTCCTCCCATCACTGGTGTTTTGCTGAATCTAGCTTTTCTTTCCTGTCATCATAGAGCCCATCAGCCCATTGGTATAATCTGTGTGGCAGCCATTTTAAAGCCCCCATTACATCAAAACTTTGTGGTTTGTAGGCATAAAAAGAAAAGAATGCAGCCAAGGTCACCTGTGCTATTTGTAAAGGTTGAGAAATGTTCATACACAAACTGAATCAGCCAACAGTTTTGTTAAAAGATGAGAACAGCATATCACAACTCCCTTTCAAACCCACACTGTGTGAAACACCAATATTAATCATGAGACTGATGAGGTTGTTGATGAGACTCATAAAAGTAACTTGCAGCATTCATGTTAGAAAATAACACCATGGAATAACTTCTGTAATGCACTGAGCACAGAGGTCCACAGTGACAGTGTAAGAGTGAAGCTGGATTTTTCATTTAACACAGTGATTATCTCTGTAATAGGCTCAGGTGCAGTATCATTAACCACCAACCCCCACCACACACACACACACACACACACACACACACACACACTCACACACACCTTGCTGTCTGCCTAGTCACCTCTCACTGCATTGATTTGCCCTTTGTTTGGATGATGCTCAGTATTAGTTGGACATACCTGACTGTTTGTCTGACAATTGCTATTTGTCATTTGCCATGACAACGTGTGCAACACCCTCTCTGACATAAACCGTCATTTGCTGGCACCTTTGTGGATCAAAATAATATTTTTGACAGGGTGGAGATTAGATATTGATGGTATTGAGTGACTGAATATTTTTGCTAAAGCTACTCTTCTATTCATTAGGACCATCTCATCAATGGCATTTTGTGGGTGCAGGAGGTTAAAGTACAAATGTATATATTGTACTTCTCTTGGTTCCTTTTGCTGTTTTAACACATTTGACAAATCAATCAAAAATATCAAAGAAAAAATTAAGTCATATTCTTGAATAGATGACAGTTTTGAGGTGGAAAGAAATAGGTGACAATTTTTTTTGTTACTTTATGTAGAGCCCATGAGTGAGGTAATTACAGGAATCAGTCTTCCTGACAGCAGATTCTTCAGGTTTAATTTTTGCACCATCAATAACATATATTATTAAAAGTGTCAATTTATATTTATCAAAAATTGGACTGTAGATTAATATTGATTTACCACCTGCATGTGCTTTGTAATGTGCCTGAAATAAGCTTAGATGCTTAGATTATCATTATATCTGTGTGTAAACTGTGTGATTATTGAACACTATGGAGAAGTTTCAG